AAACGCTCTTGTCGTGCTTCTGCTCGTACTGTTGCTAGCCTTTGGTCTAATGTTTATATGATTTTTGCTGTTCGTCGTCTGTGACACTACTGGGCTTGCCAGCTTGGGCCTGCGGGCCAGTGGCAGCTTGCGTGCTGTCGCTTTTAGCTTAGTTTAGGCTTTGCTTGAGTGGCGAAGGTGCTGCTCTCGGCGGCCGATGGTAAGACACCATCGATGACCGGACGCAATGCGGTACTCTCCCGCAGCGGTGGAAAGAAAAAGATAATATACACTATAAATATGTCAAACTGATAACGATAAAGAATGAGAAATATAACTATTATATATACACATAAGAAGAAGAACAGCAACCAATAAGAATGACATAGCAATAGCAATACTACTACTAGTAATGAGAACAACAATAGTGAGATATCAATCACAACAATAGCAAACATGGTTATAATATCAGTATGTGTATAAGCGTAGATGTACATACACACACACACATCTAGATAAATATAAGTGTATATATATATATACACGCTCGTATTTATTTTTATGCGCACATACACATACATACACGCACCGAATCTATACCCAACAGTGTTGCATGTCGAATTTTGGATGTTGGTAGCCTTGTTCAAGGCCTATTCAGAAGCCTCATCAAAGAACCCACTATCCTCACAAGTGCGCTATAGGCAATGTAGCCACGTTCCGACCAGGCGCCTCAGACCTGTCTATGGTACAAAGAACCCTACACCCTGAACCCTAAACTAAACGGCCTGAGCCCGAAAAGCCGTAACCCTGAATCCGAAAACTATTTGAGGCGCCACTGAAAACAAACCTATTTTAAGAGGATCGCCACTTTTGGAGAGCTCGAAAACCCTTTGGCCCATAAACCTACCTTTAAGGTTTTCGTATGATGGTTTTCTTAAAAACATCCTTAACAAGGTCGTTTTGGGAGCTGCAGGTACCTTAAACTGCAAGCACCTGATTGTTGTTAAGTGTGCTTGAGGCGATGGCGATTAAAGGTGGGGCTATGCAGGGGTGCTGCAATTGGAGCGTCGCAGACCTTTGGTTGTAGTTACCAACCTTGAACTTTTCAGCGCCTGTGGCTCCGATTCGTTTTGAGCGTGGTGTTGAGCGACTCGGCGTCCTTGGTGCCTGCATGAAGTTGTAACTTCTGCGGTCTATGGTGCTCGAGCCTAGAGCTTGAGGTTTAAAGCCTTAGGGTGCTGAGGTTGAGGAGTTTCAGGGCTTTAAAATGCTGTAATTTTCAGGGTTTAGGGTTGGGTGGCTACCTAAACCTTAAATGTAAGCCTAACACCTGATAAAAGCCACAACAAGGATGGCAAGTTGTATCCGAAGGACGAGACGTGCAGACAGAGGTATCGGGTCTTCACCATCAGTTTCTGAACCGAATATGCCCTCCGTAGGATTCGAAGACTTCTAATCTTGCTGTGTAAGGGCTTTATACGTTACATGGGTTATGATGCTGTTGAGGGCCTTTCCAGCGTTGGTAGATACCTCTGATTTTTGTTCTAAACCACTCTTTTCTATGTGCTTTATTGTTGAGATCCCGTTGCTTCACCAGACTTTGACAATAAACATGATATGGCTGTGAAGAGCCCGAAAACAACATAGACCCATGTCTCGTGCTTTTTGCTTAAGCTGAGGAGACCGCCACCTAAAACTGGCCGAACCTCAAACACAGACACACGCGGGCTGCCCAAAGACCTCATGACACCGACCCTGGATCAGGGATTAGGTTTAGAGGCGAAGGGGGTTTAGGGTTGCCAAAATCTTGAACTCCCCTTTAGGTTTCGCTCGATCTTCAGCGATTGGACCGTCAGTATCACTGAGCTTTGCTGAGCTTGACCGGGGTCGCAGAGAGCTGTTCGAGTTCGGTTGCCAGGTGCCACAGGGACAAAAGACGGCATCCGGGGAGGCCCGTATGGCGAACTCCATAGCCCCTGTGACATCAGATGAACGGAAGTCGTTTTGCTGGAAAACCTTAGTGAAAGTTGATCAGTGGATCAAGACACAGCTACACGCAAGGTCATGCACTCTCGCCAAGGCCGTCGGAGAGCGAGTAAATCCGAACATCCAGCCCCAAACACCAAACGCAGCGCTCAAGAATCAGAAACTAAACCGTAGCATCCCGAAGCTCCAATGCAAAGCATGCCAGAGCAACCAGGCGGTCGACGTACACTCCAGCTCCTGCAGCGCAGCGGCCGGAGGCCAAGCTTGGATGTCGCGGACACTGTCGCTAGTTCCTTTAAGGGGTCTATACAGCGTTCCTTTCAGGGGTCTATAATGGGTTCCTTTAAGGGGTCTATAAGGGTTTCTTTAAGGGGTCTATAAGGGCTTCTCTAGAGCCGCAAGAACCGTCAATCCGACAGTCTATAACCCTAAAGGTAGATGGATTTGGAGTTTAGGTTGGGCATGTAGCATTGTTTTAGGGTTTGAGCACTGTCTCGCCAACTGGTCAGAATGCACATCGGCACAGCTATCATTATGATCTATTCACGATGCTGCTCGACTTTCAGAACTTTCGAAGTTGAACTTCCTGTGGATCCAAGCACTACGTTTCAACTCTGAAACTTTCTCAAGGACTCATAGGGAACCCAAAGAAGCACATACACACAACCCATCCCCGCAGTGCAACACAAGGATGTTTGTAAACCCGTGGGGAAAACCCAGAGGCTTTTGAGGGACAGCTATAAAACAGTAAGGCACCAACAAACGAGAAAGTAACCACTGAAAACCTAGCTCCTTTTTGTTTTTCAAGCCGCTAAACCCTAAACCCTGAACCCTAAACAATCACGAGGAAGGTCGCGCTCGGATCCCAGACTTTGTGGGTTGCTGTTTGCGATTCTCAACCTTAAGAACCCCAAACCTACTTTTTTGTAGGGTCCCTATAAATCCCATATTAGGGTTTATAATAAGAACCTACAGAAAAGTGGGCTTTGGGTTCTTAAGGAAAGGGTTCATGTGCCCGGGATTGAGAGAGAGGCTACGGCGCAAGGGCTAAGATGTCTCTAGAACACGGTTCCTCGGGCATCAGTTTAAAGCTTGCGTGATAGAGCCTAATCCCTATAAACCTATACTGCCTAAACCCTCTATAGACTCTCAACGCGCAGAGTATATAGAGATTAACCCCAAATACAAACCCCCTGACCTCTAAACCCCGAGGTCTATGCGGTTGAACATTCATGATCGCCCCTTCCCAGGCCTCTCGGGCAAACGCCAGCCGCGGTTCCGCAAGCGCTGGCGCCAGTTGACTGTCCAAACGCGGCTTCTTGCATAGGGGCTTTATAAGACTGTTTTGAGGGTTCTGCAAGGTCCATGTCCCTATATATAGTATACTTCCTGAAAGGGGTCACTTTACAGCTATCAGGCCACAGTATGAACTCTCTGAGTACATGAACCCTTGGAGTTCGCGGTACGTCAAGCCCTGTGCCTACGACCCAAAATCTCGGCCACATCCTGAGATTCTCTCTTGCTTTGAACTGATCAAAGCAGTCTAAAGACCCTAAACTTGGCCCTGAACCCCTAATTAAACCCTCAACCCAAACTGAACTGTAGGTTTTGATTCAAGCTTGGGAAGCCGGGTTTTTTTGGGGGGGTGTAAGGCTGCTGGTCGGGACTTTTCAAACTGTGGCCTGCAGTGGTCTTCGCATCGATAACCGTAAGGGTCCGTGTACTCGTAGAGTGTGGATGATATAAATCCTGCATTACCTTAAGGACCCCAAACTATGGGAAATATGTTATATTCCTTATTCTGGGAAATGCAGGATTTATAGCATCAACTGTCGGGGAATATATTCATAGTATCTATATAGGGACTACTTTAAGGCCAAAGTATCTACTATTTGTTTACATGGACCCTTAGGGTAAGTCTGCCCGGAATCTTTGTCTCGTCGCGTTTGTGTCGAGACATGTTACAGTTAACAGTTCCGGGTCTTGTTGGCAAAGAGCTACTAAGAGGTATGTTTCAGGGAGCGTCCGCGCAAAGTCCTACAAGAGCCCCACCCGAAACCCCAAAACCCGAAACTACCCGTGAGGCTCTAAGCAAGCCCGCCTTCGGTCATCGCCGCGCCCGGAGCCCCCTGGAGGTGTAAACACGGATTGTTTTCTATGTTTCGGATTCAAAGTTTCGGGTTTGGGGTTTAGAGTGCATATGGCCCTTTCTTCATTTGAGGGCTTGTGGGCTTGAGGGGAAAGAACGACACTAGCTTGTAGGTTTCGGACATCTAAGACTAGATTAGATAGTTTCGCCCTCCGTAGAACAACCCACACACAAAACCCAAAACCCGAGAGGGGTGGATGGGTACATTGCAACTACGCGCCGGCATGCAGGGTTGGGAGACTGTGATGGAATAGATCAGAGATTTCGTTGGCTTTCTTCGCGCTTGGAGTTTAGGGTCGGTTTTTACAGCGGCCCTTTCTGACTGCAGGTTCAAACCCAATGTGTTTACAGGCTGTAGAGTTCGACTTGGAGTAGCCTCTCTTGGGTTGAACAGTTCACAATCTCAGTTCAGGGTCTAAGGTTTGGGGTTTAGGGATTAGGGCCAAACCCAGAACGCTAAACCCCGACCCTGCACCCGGAACCCCGAAGCCCAACAAGAATGTTCTAGTATCATCCCGGAGCGCCCCACACGCCCAATGACCCCAATATGTGAAAACTTAAACTTCAGCTTACATACTATTCCCTGAATGAACTCCCGCGAGATCCTGAACCCCAACGCCTTTTTATTCATAGACATACGGCCCATGAGCCCTGGAACCTGATTCCGTAAACCTCAAGCGCGAAGCCTCCAAAATGACCTAGACCAGCATTTAGCCTCAAAACCTAAAGCCCTGAACTTTGAAAAGGCTTTCTGTCCGAACAACCTCGGGCGAGCATGGTGAGTCGGCGGTGCACCTCCGACGGTCGGATGGGTCTGTGTTGAGGCTTTGTGTGTCGTTTTGCGGGGAGGGGGAGGTGGTGGAAAGGAGGATGAGACTTGAGACTTCGGCTTAAAGTGGTCCAGGGCCCCAGGGCTGGGGTCCACGAACTTGGAGGGCGCGCTAGCTCCGGAAATGTAAGGATCTTTGTGGATGGCATCGGCATGGCACTTCGTAAGACCTCACTTTCATGGTGGATTGTGGTGATGGCGTTGATGTTGACGACGATGATGATGAGGATTATGTTGATGGAGATGTTGTTGTTGATGATGATGATGATGATGATCCGGTTTCGTACACTGGCCGTTGCTCTGCACTCGCCAATTCTCCCAGAATGTCAACCCTTACTTCCTGTCAAAACCACCGTTACACACCATGCTCTCCAGAAACGTTCGGCAGTCGCTATTCGACATCCCTGTCCGTGCCTGTCCGGTGAGGAGCCACCTGCGCCAAACCGGTTCGAATGTTGTTAAAGCCCTTACTTGACGGGCGCGCAATAGTTCCCGGAAAGGGTTCAGGGTATAGAGTCCGGGGAGTGCCGAGGGATATGCTACTTGTAGTCTAACATTTATGCATAATCACACGATGTCACCATGCATCCATGTGACTAGCAGCTGGCTAGCCACGCATGTAACCTCGGTCCGTGACAACAGCAGGACCATCGAAACTCTGTTAGAATCTAGGAGTTAGGATCAGGGAGACCCTTGGAAATATAGACCCTCTCAATAAGGTCCCTTTTGAGAGAGCCAGAAGTAGGGCTAAGCGGGCCCTCTTGAAGGGGTCTCCCTAATACTACCTAGGACGTCAACAAGCTTCACCCCAAGTGGGCTCGCGCTCCTGTTCTCATGACTGTGCACGGGAGCTTCAAGGACCAAGCACATACAACCCTAAGCTATGCGAACACTTGCAATAGTCTCAATCCTCTTGAATGCTGCTACCACAGCACAGTAAGTCTGAGTTTCAAGCTGAACCTGATACCCGCCCTTCGCAGCGACAAGGCTGGAATCAAGCACATGCAACTGCAGACTAAGCACAGCTGTCATCTGTAGGAAGTTGTTCCACACGATGGTCTTACGCATTCATGCCTCCTTGGGGTGGCAGTTAGGCCCTGCATCGAACCGTTAGGAGCAGCCCACCGTTTCCATAACATGGCATAGTTTTAGAAGCACCGGCTCCTGAATTAGCCGAGGGCAGACGGGGGAGGACGGATCGAGGGCCCGAATGCCCTGGAGCGTTCTAAGATAATCTGGCGGCCTGAGGAAGTAGAACAGGATTTTGGGGTACAGTAGAGTATACAAAGTATCTACTACTTGGGCACATGGACCCTTAGGGTTAGAGTATACCTAACATTCGAGTATACTTGATAGCTTTCTGAATGATTCAGGTTTCTATCTATGTCACACCCAGAGACTCCCCCACTCCCCCCTTGACTACAGAACATGCCTGAAATCACATGAAGGATCTCTCTAAAGCTTGGACCAGCCCTTGTTTATAAGCCCTACGACCACTCGAAAGCAAAATCAAACACCTAATGCTTCGTTGCGCCCGACAGAACCCATGTATTAAGAAAACAGCTCATGTCAATTTTAAGGGCCCTTGGTGCAACTCTAAACCCCTAGACCGACAACTTTCGAGTCTCGCGACACCGGGCCTCCATTTGAAGGGTTTTCAAGGATAGGTCCAATCTGCGCGAGGAAAGAGCACAGGGGGGGGGGGGGGGGGGGG